TAATTGTCAACCTATAGTTTGTGTACGAACACTTGTCTTTTATATCTAGTATTGTTTTTTTTTTAAATTTCTTTTGTCCTGCATAGTACCTGATATTTGCAGGGAAACGGTTTTGCAGTGAAATATTTAATTTTAATTGTCCTTTCGCATTTGGCGTCTTTCAGAAAATTAATCAATTAATTAAAAAGAAAAAAAAAGTTGATGGCAAATTAAAAATTTATTTCCTTTATTTATTTATTTTTTGATTTTATTTATTTATTTAAAATTTTTTAAATATACACTGTATTTTTAAAAAAAAAACATTTTGATTTTAATTGTTCACGTATAATATTAGTGTGAAGGAGAAGAGAGAACTTCAAGCTCGAGAAATTTTAAGTCGTGACAATATTCTCAATGCACTCACCTTTTCAACATTTATTTGGATACAATCACTAAACTGCTGTAATTAAACGTTCTCGTCGTGAGGAAAATTTGAAAATTTTATATACTCTATAAAATAATTTGTATCGTTTTGTCGGCATACGTAATGCATGTATAAATAGTTTTGACCAAATTTTTTTTTTTTTTTGAAATTTTGATCAAAAAACTAAAAATATTTGTCACTTTTCAGAAAATGGTAATAATTCATTTAGTAAGAGTTTTTTTTTTGTGCAGGAAGCATTTTTGCAGAACATTTAACATAGTTCTATTATTTAGTGATAAGGTTTAAAGATTAAACAATAATTCTATCAATTCGACTTTCAATTATTAGAATAAATCTTACAACCATTCACAATTAAATTGCTTTAAAAACTCGACTTTAAAACAATACAACAGCGAAAGAAAGAATTTTATAGAGCAGTGGTAACCAATTTACTTCGGCTATGGAATCATAAGTACTCAAGTGCTTGAATTTAACAGGGTGCGTAGGTCGTTATTTTCGATTTTCATTTTTTAAAAGCCCTTAAGGGTGCTTTTTTCATTGAATGTTTTTAAAAAGTGCTTAATTTTCCCTTTTCAAAATGAGATTTTTCCTTTACTATGTTGATTTTCGCTTCGAATTCTGCAAAAAGACACAGTTTACATTGTTCTATTCAACGTGTTCGCAATTAATTGAACCCCTATCTATTCCGGCGTATTGTCAGTCCGTGGCGTATAAAAACGCCATTCGCTATACATGATTCAAAATTTCATGATTTTTGACAGTTGTCAAAAACAATGCCAATTTTTTTTTTTTGACATGATGGTTAAAACAATATAAAACCGTCAATTGTCAAAAACTTTTCAACCCTGCCTAATTATGATATTTTTTTAAAGTGCTTAAAAATATTTTTTGAGTGCTTAAAAGGTGCTTGTTTTTTGTTGAATAATTTGGCTACGCACCCTGATTTATAAATAAATAAAAATATTTAATGATATAAATTTTATTTGTTATTTAAATGAATGAATAAAAATGAAATTTTTTCATCATATCATTTTATCAGTACTATTTATGTGAGACCGTTAAATTAACAGGTCTGAAGTGGTATATAGTCTTTTAATTTGATTTTAGTGTATGCATAAACTGAATATAAGTGAGCTAAAATTTTGTTTTCATTGAAATAAAGACAAAAAGAACCGAAATAAACGTTGAGAATGATTATTACAGAGATATATTTCTTCATTGTTGAATTTGGTTATTTTTTATTTTATGCAAAATACTGATGCAATTCTTTACAAATATGTCCTTATTATTCATTCAATATATTGTTATTAGAATATATATAAAATTTTTTTCTTTTCAAGCCTTATTAATTAAATAATTTTAAAAATATAAAATAATGGGTAATTAATCGGATATAAATTTAATTGTAGATTTCGAAAATCATAACTGATTTTAAAAAAAATCCTAACTCTCCGGACCTTTCCACGGAACCTCAGGGCTCCGCAGAACACCATTTGGGAACCGCTGTTCTAAAGGATAATCAATATTCATTTTTAGTATTGGAATAATTTTCAAATTTTATCGTATTTTTCCGGAACTAAACATCTCTTTTCAATAAACCTTTTAAAGTACCTCTTCGATGCTTTTCCGAATTGCAGAAGAGCCCTATTGTTATAGATAAGATACCTTCACTACATACCACAGAATATTCTTTGTGCAATATAAACATTGAAAAGTCTTGTAACCGCCGAGCGTAAAGAGAGCAAATTAGAGCCAAATGGTCCCCATAAAAGCCATTTCCAAGTCCTTGGAGCAGAGACTCGTATGGTCTGTCTCGTTCCGTATCCAGATTCATGGCTGTAATGAGTGAGAGACGGAATTCAGGAAATGCGACGTCATAAAACTCTCCAGACCATCTTTTCTAACACTCGCCATTTTCTTTGGAATTTTTTTTCTTTCAAAACTACACTTTTGCTTAGACATTTTAGAAATATTTTGGCGAGGTCTTCTTAGACTTGTAGTTGTACAACCACACACACGTCTTTATTTTTAGTTTTTGTATCGTTAAGTCTTTGATGCAGAATTTTTATTAAACACATTCTTCTTACTTTTGCTTTATTTTGTATTAATTTAAGCCAAAACAAGTGAAAAATATTATATTTAGCATATTAATAATTTATGGTTATGAAATACATCATTAAACACCGGTGTCTTTTTCTGCGTCAAAGGCAAAATCTTCCAAACACGGCTCACTTCCAAACAATAATTTTGAAAAAAATGTACTTATTTGGAGTTATTCAGATCTAAGAGAAACAATTATTCATTATGGAGATTTCTTTAAATTACGAAATCAATCATTGAAGATTTTTTGAAAATGAATAATTAATCAGATTGTATTTTTGAACTAGTCTTTTTTTGGATTTTATATTTTCGTACAATTATAATTCCGATAATCTAACAGATTTTTTTTAGTAGCTATTAGACTTTTTTCTAATTAAAAAATAGCAAAATAAATTTCTGCTTGTAATTAGAGCATCGAAAAAAAAAATATGTATATTAGAGACAACGTGTTCCACCTGCATCAAAGGGTTAAAATCTAGACTTTGTCAAGTTGCCGTTTTGTGATTCTTCGACTTTACTAAAATTTAATTTCCTCTTCTGTTTTATTTGGGAAAAGGGCTTGTCTTTCCATGTTAATAAAAATAAAAGTTTTAATGTGTGAAAAAATGGTTCAGAGGTACAGCATAAGGGTGAAAAGAATTATTAAGATAAAAAAATGGTAACTTTTTTTTATTCACAGTGATAATCAGTCAATTCATGTAGAATATGTACGGTTGTTAATGTGTGAAAAAATGGTTCAGAGGTACAGCATAAGGGTGAAAAGAATTATTAAGATAAAAAAATTGTAACTTTTTTTCATTCACAGTGATAATGAGTCAATTCATGTAGAATGTGTACGGTTGTTAAACTTAACTCTCCAACTTTGCGATTTGCATCCCAACTCAGGACACTGGGTAAATCTTTAAGTCTTTTTATTCGGTCAAAGTTCTTGGTCCCATATTAATTGAATTTGATGAAAACTTGTTTTGCTGGGAGCTTGGATCGTGTAAAGGATCATCCAAGTGCTTGATCCAAGACCTTAGATAATAGAGCATTTTCTACTTTCCATCCCAGCTTTTACTTCCATTACCAATCAGCTTCGATAGTTTCATGACGTCAGCGAGTGGGCATATGATCATTTTATTTTTTTAGTCCGTTTTCATATATTCTAATTTAAATAAATTAATCTGATAGGATCCATTTGTGTTATTAAGATTTTTGTAATTTTGCCTTCATGTAAGTATGATTTTTGAAATCTTGAATCTGATCAATGCGCATGTGCACTGTTTTTCATCCGACCACTGAATGACATTCAAGAACTTTGGTAGTATCAACGAATCATCCAATTTCTTGGTCAAAGAAATTCCTCCCTAATTTTCCTTAAATCCTTCCTTCTTAAGGATTCCTTAAATTTTTAATTTAATTTGTCCTGTAGTCTGTTCTACTGGCTTAACATATAGCGCCTAATTATATATATATATATATATATTGCAATTACAGCTGATTTAAAATAGTTTTGTCCTTTATTTTTAAAATATGGAACTGCAATTAGTGAATTCAAATATAGTAAAACTGTGCAAGTTTGTTTTTTTAAAAAAAATTGCAAAATGTTTGTTGTAGTCTGACAGGGGTCTTCTAAGAAGAAATTTGGGTTCGTTAACGGACCCTTCACAAAATGTCTTTTCATAAAACGGACCCTTCACAAAATATTTTAACTTAAAAACGGACCCTTCACAAAATGAGTTTTCTTTTAATCGGACCCTTCACAAATTTGTTTATCTTCATTATTGTTTTGTTAATCGAATATACTCTTCCCAGGAAGGGGAGGGGGAGAAAGATAGACGTAAACGAACTAAATTTTGTTTTCGGCAGACGCTTCTTCCTTTATTCGTCCAAAATGAATATTCTGCGTTCAGCACTATAGGCTAAATACCAAATATTTGTATGTTGCATATCTAATTTTAAAGCAGCAATTGTTGTTTATTTTAAATTTTAATTTTTTTAAAATTTAATTTTTTAAATTATGATTTTTTTAGTGTTGATCATAATTTTGTATGTCTTTACAGTTTAAAAACTCCTTGAAAAAGTTTTTTTTGCAATAACGGACCCTATTTGCACAAATTCACAAAAGCGAACCCTGGCTGAAAGAATGTGACTTAACGTTCATTTTATATTCACTAATTACGAGTAATTTTTTTCACAATTTTACAAAAACGGACCTTTCACAAAATGTCTGGGCAGACCCCTGTCTGATGAATGTACAATGTATCCCTTTAAATCAGCGATTTTTGAATTTAATTTCGTGAAAATTCTAGTGCCAGCCTTGTAACACAAACAGCCTTGTAACTTAAAACAAAGATAAGTTTGTTCAATCTCACTATGCCAGAAACGGTGAACGGAGTAGTAATTCTTAATTGGATTTCATAGAATTTAGCCATATTTTTTGTAAAGTCGCATCAATAAAAATCAGACTGAATCACGATTTGTTTATTTATAGGTGAGAGTTTTATACAGCCTTTCTATAATAGTGCCTCACACCTATCACATCCCATGAGGAAGATGACTCCCGGCGGCGGCTCTAATGGCCAGGTATGTTTAATCTATTTGACAAATAAACATTCTTAGTCATTGTCGATGTAGTTTTTATTTTAACGTCACATCCCTACTTGAAAATGCATGCGAAACTAATTAAAGCTAGGTACTTTTCAGATCTCTTTCTTACAATATATTTTTTATTTATTTATCTTTAATTCTTTCAATGGAATGTTTTAAAATGATTTGATATTTAGTGTAGTAATGTTTAATTTATTGTAATTTTTATAAATTTTGATTTAATAGCGTTGCAATTTTTGTTTTCGTTTATTAAACCGCTACTTTTATTAATTACGTTCTATAATTATTTAATAATTTTGACCCGTGTGATTTTGTGTTTGGCATATTAGCTTCAATATTATCCCATAGTCATCTTTTTTCTCTTTATTGTCGTTTTTATTATATCCTTTTGTAAGGTGGCTTTTTTGGGGGGGGGGGGTTAGATCATTTCTGCCTTTTTAGATTGAAACTTGTTGAACTGAAAATTTCTTTGTCCAAAAACTTGGTTTTGAATGTAATATATTTGTTAAATCATTAAGGGCTTTGATTTTTTTTAAATTTTAAATAATTATTTAGTTTCTTGATTAAAAACTTCTTTCGCTTCAAAAATATACAAATTCGAAATCACAGTCGATATGTTTTAAGAGTTCAAAATCAGGCGCCCATTTTCAAGACTTGCCAGACGTGAGTCAGAAGAAATAAAAGTGAATTGATGTATAAAGCGAAAAGTTGCCAACAAAAAATGGAAAATGATGGTGAAAAACAAAACTAGAAAAATCACAGTGGCCAAGAGGGGTAAATCTGGGTAAAATATATTTTCACGTGCTATGAAAAGGTGATAAGGAACTAATCTTGTTAAGATAATCAGCATTCATATGAATAAAACAAGATTCTACGACATCAAGATGAGCTGATGTTAGTGGGGTGGAAATAATTTTGGGATTGTCGAAGTTGAATTTATTCCCAAGATTCCAATATAATAATGTGCAGCAATTAATAATTTCTTATATTCTTGATAGCGGACATATCTACAGTGTTACTTAAGTCTAAATTATAAAACTTGCTTTAAAATTTTTCTCTTCCGTATTTTTTTTAATATCTTTTTTTTTTCCTCTCGCATGCTGTGGTTCTTCTAGTTTTATTTCGCTCCTTTATTTTTATATTTTTCGTTGCCAACTTAACGTTTCATATTTCAAATCGCTTTTGTTTCTTCTTATTTACGTCTGACAAGTCTTGAAAATGGGCGTCTGATTTTGAGCGCTTGAAACATGCTGACTGTCATTTTCTACTTCTATTTTTTTTCCCCGAAGCGAATGAAGTTTTTAATCGGGTCAATAAATTAGTTGTTATTAGTTATTATTAAACTATATTTTATCTATATCAATCTTGCATGTGTTTGTGAAACAAAGAAATTCTTTACGAAAAATTTATCGATTTGTTATTTGTTTAATTTTCAGATTCACTTAACTCATGTCATCGTACACAGTCAACCCGATAGCTTGCCAAGTACACCTTCAGATGCTGGTCATTCCCCTAGCCTGTCAAAAGGTAAAAACTACAAAATGCTGTGAAATGTTATTATGTTTGATACCGTTACAATCATCGCCTTCATGTACCTAGTCATAAATATAATAACCAATAAACTTATGATTGTTAATATTCTTTTAGTTATTAGTAATATTCTTAGATTCTCTTAGTTATTGTCTTGAATTTTTTCTTACCATGCGTTATTTCGAAGCAACACAACTTTGAAGAAATATTCTTCATTCCCTTTTTGGTTTGAGGTGGATTTGTTTGTTTGGTTTCAACCAACGTTGCGTTGCTGCTTTTCTAGTAATTTTTTTAAAAATTTTGTTTTATATTTCGATTGAACTAATAATTACTAAAACTAATGGATAGAATAGTGGTCTAATTTCATCTTTGTTTATTTTGATGTGGTACAAAACCTTAAAGTCTAATGAATGTAATGTTTTGTATGTACTATCTTGTTTGACTTGTGGTTCCCTATGTTTGGCAACTGAAATCGACTGACTAGAGGCGTGCTAATTAAGAAGGAAGAAGAAAAGAATATGAATGATTTGTGTGAACAAATAAGTGTGGCTTACTCCATTTTGGACCTCTATTCTAATAAGGTTTTCATATAATCCAAGTATTTAGATGTTTTTCGAGCTTGTTTTTTTATTATGTATTTTAATGATCTGAAATCAATAGATCATTCTCCTTAGAAGATCAAGGAATCAACGTTAACAGCCCTAAGTTTGATCATGTGTTTTTTTTTAAAGTGGGGTGGAAAACTCATACATTTTGTAAAACTTTCAGTTAATTAATATTACATTTTAAACTTAGTAATTAATTGTTACGTTTTTTTTGTCATTAGGAAGTAAAATGAGTACTACGCTGACTTCGGTAAAATGCCGTATTATTGATATAAACAGCTATACAGGTATATAAACAGCAAATCACGAGTACTTGTAAATTTTGAGGAAAACATACACACTTTGAATTTCAATGAACTGAAAATGAAATCATTAAAAAATTCTGTCAGAAACTTATTTATTTTTGTAATATTTTATTTGTAATTAGGAAGATTAATGAGTGGCACGCAGGCCTCTTTAGAAGATCAAGGTATCGATATGAACAGCCCAGGAAGGCATAGCCCTGGTGGTAGTAGCGGCGGGAGCAGTATTTCGAGACATTCTTTATCTAGTCTGGACAGTGGACGAGCTTCAGGGCCTGGTTCTGATGGAGGTGGAAAGGTAAGTCGTACAAAAACTTATTATTTCTTTACCAGTTGAATTGTTCTATTTACTAAAATGCACTTTAAAATGACCTATGTGTCTGTTGTCATTCCTATTTCATTAGAATTTTTATTATCACAATTCGTCGTTGTTATGTTAGGAGCCTCATTATTTATGTTTTTATTATTACGCTACGAGATCTGTTTAGATATTTTTTAATTAAATACTGTAGAATTTATCTGTTTCGATAAATTTTTTTTTTTTTAATTTTTTTTAAATTTTTTTTTTTAGTATTATGGTTAAGTTGTTTAAGCGCCCTCGATAAACTTAAAAACTGGTAGTAAGATTTCTAAATAGTTATTTGAAAACTCACTACTTTGCCTTTACAATTTTAAAATTCTGGAACAGAAATCCCCATTAAAAATTCTATATCAGAAATACTTTTTTAATGATAGGAAAAGTAAAGAGATAATGTTCCTTTTGAAACTTTGCTACCAAATTTTTAGTACGCTTGTCAGCTTAATTATAGTACCAGAATAATTAACTGTATGAAATGCGTGTTTATTTCATTTTTTTAGCAGTTCTCAAAAATTTAATTTGGCTATAGATTATTTTTCTATACTTAATTTGAGTATTATGGATGCTTTTTGTAGGCTGTGAACCGTAGACTGTCCATCCAAAGCTATGAAGGTTCCTCACCACAGCGACGATCTTATCATAGTTCGAGTTCTAGCATTGCCAGCGTAGGAGACGATTTGGGGCCGGGACCCAACGTTGCCGAAATGGTCTTGCATGGGCTACCGGTGAGTACCAGATATATTTTTTACAAATTCAAGAAAATTCTGCATTCAGCTTTTTGTTTAATTTTCGCATCACTTAAAAAAGCAATAAAAGTAAATTAGAAATTTCTTCTTCTTCTCATTGGCACTACAGCCCAGGATGGGCCATGGCCTTCTCAACAAGCCTATGCCAAGACCTTCTTCCCTTAGCCAAGGTTCTCCAGTTAATTATCTTTAAAATTTGTAGGTCCTTTTCAAGGCAGTCTAAAAATCGTAGGTTTGGTCGTCCTCTTTTTCTTGTACCTGTTGGCCTGGCACAGAAATTTAAAATTTCAATTTGCAAATTTTTCAATCGCTAATTTTTTTTTATAAAGTTTTTTTTTTTTTTTTTNTTTTTTTTTTTTGCAGTCTGCAATTTATAAATTTTTATCAATCGTCTCACCATTCTTACGCACACATATCACACAACACATGCGTCGAAAAGTTACTTATACAGTTATAATATACAGTTCTAAAAGCAAACTTTTTTTCTCAAGATTTTAAAAAAATCTAAACTACTCAAGACTTTTCTCAAAGTGCAAAATGTTTTAGAAATTTAATGTCTGGTTAGGTTTTTGTGCATAATATTCATTGTAGATGGTTTTTTTAAATTTTTTTTTTTTTAAGAAATATAATTTTATTTACTTGGCATCATTTAAAAAAAAAAGAAAAGCGTTGACAGACATTTATGTTATAATTTTTCTTTTATTTTTCATCAAGTTTTGTTTCATATCAAACGCCTCCGTTGAGTAAAATTTATGTATATTTTGATAGAACGTCACACCCAATCAATCATTATTAAAAATATCCACATTTGTCACTTGGGGCTTTAAGTGTATCTGGCAAAGGAGGATAAGCCTTCTTTCCTTTCAGCATAAATCAATCAAACATCCAAGGCCATCTGTGGACTACTTGGATGAGCTGGCTATATTTTACATCGGGTTCCTTTAATACCGATGCTTAATCCTGTTGGCGCAATTCATAAGAGCAATATGATGGAAATGTCCTCTAATTGCTTTTTTCTCCCCATATGGGGAGAAAAAAAACTCAGTCAAGTGAAAGCAATATCGGTACCCAAGTTTATGAAAACTTCTCTTTCCTACTATCCTGTTATCTGGACATTGATATTAAAGATACGTCCTCGCGAAAAAAGTAGTACAAAAAGGAAAACAGAGTAAGAAACAGAAAGACGCTCAATTATTTTATTCATAAGAAATGATGTTGTAAGGAAGGAAAATAATTCATATGTGGTTTTCAAAGAAAAAAGGCGTTTTTTTTTGTTGTTGTTTAGTAAAATAAAAATCACGAGTTAATGCACAGTTAACGAAGACAAACATTTGTTTTGAAGCTATGATAAATGCCATCAGTAGTGCGGAAAGAGAGAAGTTCTGGCACTGATGGTGGCATTAGTTATAGTACCGAAACGGCTGTCTGTCTCTTGACTATTTTTTAATCAAAATATTATATATTTGATCGTTTAATTTAATTTGTTTAAGTAACTAACATGATGTATTAAGTTTTGTTATTTGTGCTTGGTTATCTTTAACACGCTATACACCACAACGTACAACGTTGAAAAAGATTTTGCATTATAATAAATGCACGTTCTCTCCGTTAAATATATAATGAGTTTCTTTTCTTCAATCAATGTCTATTCTTAATTGTTTCGAAAAATGTAACAGGATGCGTGACGTTTTTAAAAAGTGCTTAAAGGAGCTTATTTTCGCTTTTTATTTTTTAAAAGCTCTAGGCATGCTTTTTTCATTGAACATTTTTAAGAAGCTCTTAATTTCCCCTCTTCCTAAATGATTTTTTTTTTATTTTTTACCATGTCGATTTTCACCACGAATTACGCAAAAGGCCTAATTTTCATGTTGTTCCTTCCAACATTTTCACAATTCATTCAACCATAAGCTACTTTTGCATACCGTAGGTCCGTAGCGTATGAAATTGCCAATCACTTATGAAATGTTTGATGAAATACTTGCAGATCCGCACGTGCTGACACTGAGCTGGATTCGGTGGGAAGGTTCTTAAACTCATGTGCAACTCAGTGCAGAGATCCTCGATTTCAAGTTCCATTTTCCGCCCTTAGAAATCAAACCGAAGAATTTATCAAATTTTTGCTGATCATAGGGAGCAACTAAACATTGCTAATTTCTTTTCCCTAATGACAATAATTTTTTTTAATTTCTCTTATAAATTTCATCATTGGTGTAGCACCATCGTCGTCACTGGAAAGCCAATATCCTTCTTGTGCTATTCTGTTTATATATCAGTACCAGTTCTATTTATATATCTATAATCAGTTCTGTTTATATATCTTTGAACTTGGCTTGGATCTTTCACTAATTACGTATTTTCATGTGGGCCCAGAGCGAATTTTCAGTGCTCTTAAGTTATTTATTAAAAAAACTCAATAATATTTAAAGACAAGAATTTTTTTAAAAAAGTGTGAAGGGAGAGGCTTTTGACAACTTTAACATTTAGCAAATGCAGTAAAAAAATCTATGTTCATTCAGATTTATCATTGCAAAAAACTTCAACTTAATGATTTGATTTAAAAAAATAATATAAAAAATTCAATAATCTCAGATTTGATAAATATTTTGTGTGTAGGAAACCATGTAATAATTTACTTCTGACAGAAATGTCAAAAATCATTGAAATTTTTTTAAAAAGAATACTGACATAACAAAGTTTAACAAAAATTTAATAGGGGCCATCCACTAATTTGCATTAGTAATAAGATTTTATTAAGTATTCTTAGTTTGCTTAATTCTTTACATATCCTTATAAATGCAGTATGATTAATAACTTTAATCTTATTAATGTTTTATCGAATATACTTTTACAAATAACTCTTATTTAAATCTAAAAAATAAACCCGAAAGCTTTTTTGAATTGTAGTTTAACTAATTATAATTTCGAATTAAAGTTATTCTTTTTTTTTTTTTTTTTTTTTTTTTTTTTTTTTTTTTTTTTTTTTTTNTAGTATGTGCGAATGTATTTAAAATTCTGCATAAATTGTTTTTATGGTAGATAATATAGTCAAGAAAAAAGTTAATTTTCTAGGTTTTTTAAATTTTTTTTAAAATCATGATCATGTTGAGTTTTTATAATGTTTTTACATCTTGTTTGTTAATAATATACAGATATTTCATCAGTTGGAAGAAAATATTTTTTATTAGTGTTCGTGTCCTAATTATTGTTTTCTTTTTTTAAAAAAAAGTACTTAAAATTATTTTTTAAATACTTAAAAATGGCTTTTAAGCCCTTTTAATAAGCACCTTCTGAGGTGCTTATTTTTTGTTAAAAAATTTGCCTGCACAGCCTGTGTAACTAACTGTTCTTTAGAAATTGTTAAGAACTGTATTGGATGATGTAAGAACTAAATTCATTGTCGCTTTTGTAGGAAGAAATGAAATTTTTCTGGAGACTCTTTCAAAAAGTTGTGCGCCACAAATAAATTAATGTAAAATTCAATTGAAACTCAAGTTTTTATTAATATGATGCTAAGAAATATCGAGGAAAAAAAACTTATTGAAATAATTCTATTTAAAAAATGGAAAAAAGGAGAAAAAGACTAAGCCTCTTAAACTTTCATTAGCATTTAAAGTTTCTCAATTTCTTAGTCAAAAGTAATGTTACAAATTATGTAAAAAAAGAAAAAAACTTAAACGAAATGAATTTATTCCGGTAATTTAGATTTAAAAGGTTGTAAAGCAATTTAAACATGTCGGTTCTAATTTTGCTTTAAAAAATGTGTTTGCGATTCTTTCCCTTAATTGATTTTTCAACCTGCTGTTATTGCTCCATTTATTTCATTCGTTTTTTTTCCTCCTTCAAAGGTAACGTTTCTATAGCGAGCTTGACTGAGATATTGACTTCAACGATTTGGTTTTATCGTTTGCATTTTTGCGTTCGTGCTTTGAATGTGGATGGGAAGTTTGGTTGGGAGGAGTGGCAACGGAATGGGCGAGGATATCGATTCTTTCCCCGTGAAGGTGGGATGACAGCTCAACAACGGAATACTTTCTTGTTGGAGAAAAAGGAAGAAAAAAAATGTACAGGAAAAAATTGAGTTTCTCCCTCCTCAAATAATAATAATAAAAAAAAAAGGTGTTAGAGTTTTTTTTTATTGTAAGTAGTCATTCATATATTTGCCTTAGTTTTAACACTTTTTATTTTTATTTTAGTGTTATAGTTTTGCATCTCAATGTTATCAACGAAAAGTTGCTTCGAATATTTGAAACACCAATTTATTTCTAAGTCTTGTTTTGGCAATCGCTATCATAGAGAAAGTGATAGGGCGTTAAAATTAATGTTGGAAGCTTAAATGACACTCCTTATTTGCATGGGATATCATTTAATCGCTGATATTTATTTAAATTTATTTTCAAAAGAACAAATCGCTGGTTGCAAACACTTCTAAAATAGGGGAAATAAATGGTATTCCATTAAGAGGAGGACCAAATATCTAATTTCTTCTTTTTTTTCTTTGAACAAATAGTTTATTGACTTTTTCTAAAAAAAAGGAGACTTACATGAATATTTGAAAGCATGACTATCTGTGTCAAATTTCTAGCAATTACTGTCATAAGACAGTGATAAGGTCTTAAAATTAATGATTAAAAATTTAAATAATTTGTATGAGATATCATTGAATTGTAGATATTTGTTTACATTTTCCTTTAAAAGACCAAATAATTGGTGCATACATTTCTAAAATATGAAAAATAAAAGATGGTGATCTATATAGTTTTCTTTTTTCTCTCCTTTGAAAACGAGTTAATTGGCGTTCTTAAAAAGAGAAGACTTACATGACTGTTTGAAAGCATTATTAAGTCAAGTTCAAGCAATCATTATCATAGACAAAATGATATGTCGTCAAAATTATTGAAAGAGGTATCTTGTATTGAATTGACATTTTAAGAAAATACAACTGAAAAAAAAATCAGATTTTGAAACGAGTTATATGAATT